TTTGGCGTTCCTGCTTTCATAGTGTTTATGAGACCAATGACTGAGACCTTGCATCACCTCATTGACCAAAGGAATATCAGAATCACAGAGTTCAAAGTTGTGATTGCTGGTATACTTGCGGTATTGTGTAATGTCAAGTACTTCTTCCAGGATATAAGCACATTCTGTTGTAGCACTGCTTTGGCATTGATGACCTTGAGGTTGGCAGGGCGGGGTTGGGAAGATTGGGTTGGGCCTGACGGGGTTGAGAAGATTGAGGAACTATTTTGTTTTGATCCGCATTGATGTTTTCAAGGCACGGTTCACATATTTGCTGTCTGCCTTGACGGAGAGTATTTTGACACAAGGGACAATTGGGACGGTTCATGATGTTGAAAGACAAAGCTCTGAGAAAAAAAAACAAAGAAGATTGAAGCTGATCAAAGAAGATGGAAGGCAATCAAAGAAGATTGAAGAAGATTGGAGCCAATTGAAGCCAATTGAAGAATACTAAAGAAGAAGATTGAAGCTGATCGAAGAATACTCAAGAAGATTGAAGCCGATTGAAGAATACTCAAGAAGATTGAAGCCGATCGAAGAATACTCAAGAAGATTGAAGCCGATCAAAGAAGGATGAAGAAGAGTGAAGACGATCAAAGAAGATTACATAAGATTGAAGCCGATTGAAGAATACTAAGGAAGATTGACGCTGGTAAAAGAAGATTACAGAGGATTGAAGCCAATCCAAGAAGATTGAAGAAGGGTGAAGACGGTCAAAGAAGGATGAAGAAGAGTGAAGACAATCAAATAAGGATGAAGAAGAGTGGAGACGATCAAAGAAGTTCAGTGTAGTGTAGGTTTTGTTGAACAAGTGGATGGGTGGTGACTATGACAAAAGTTGGAAGAATGACTAAGATGATTGGTGATGGTGTGTGGGTTGTGTGATTGGTTGAGAGGTAGAGAGGTCGAGAGGTGGTTTGTACACTTTCCATCATCTAATGTGAAGTTCTCATCTTTGGGGTCCTTGTTTATGGTTTGTTAATTGTCGTTTTTTGATTATCGACATTTTTTTCTTGATTTTCAACTTTTGTTTTTTTGTTTTTTGAATTTTGATTTCCTCTTTTGTGGCTTTCCTGGTACTTTTTGTGTCAATGCGACAATGGGGTGACAAATGTTGAGTTTCAAGTTGTAAATCTACTGAAATTTGGGCCGTAACCTGGTCTGAAAGGGGTTTCTGCCATGACTTTTACTCCAGTACAGGGGTTTTTGCCCTGTATTTGAGTATTTTCTGTAGTTTTGTCTTTGATTTTTGATTTTCGCACCCGGGAATTGTGATTTTTGTTTTTTGATTTTTGCATTGTCACCTTGACACATCTCGCATTCCGTATAAAAGTCATGTGAAAGGTAAAACACCATACTTGTAACATCCCCCCATTTCCAAACAAATTTCAACACAAGTTGTTTAATTTTAATGCATGAGTTATTGCCGAAGGTCCTAAAGGCTTGGTGAGAAAATCAGCTAACATTTGATCTGAAGGTATATATTTAACTTGAATTTCATTAGATTGAATCATTTGACGAATATAATGATGACGACGGTCAATATGTTTCAATCTTGCCTTTAAACCCTCTCCTGAAGCTGTGAAAATTGCTGAAGTGTTATCTATATGAAATAATGTTGGACACACTAATTGTTGCATGATATCAAAATAAAAAGATTGTACCCAGGCTAAATGTTTGGAACATTCAGTGGCGGAAACATATTCAGCCTCTGATGTTGATAGAGCCACAATAGATTGGCGCTGAGACTTCCAGCTGACTGCACCACCAGCCACTGTAACAACATAACCGGTAACTGACTTTCGAGTTGTCGTACATTGTGAAAAATCAGAGTCTGAATAAGCTAACGGTTCTTCAATCCCCCCGGAGTAAGTAATGCCTAGAGTCTGAGTGCCTTTGAGATAACGAAGCAGATGTTTTGCCGCGGTCCAGTGTGATAAGGTCCATGCCGAGTTGAATTTGGAAAGCTGTGATACGGCATAAGAGATATCCGGCCTGGTCACCGCAGAGATCCACTGAAGACATTCAACCATCTCTTGATAAGGAATGTCCTTCGCCTCCTCGATTTCCTCGTTAGTGCCAGGCATCAAGGTGAGTCGCTGAGGTAACGGAGTTTTAGCAGAATTACAGTTCACCATGGCAAAACGCTCAAGTACAGACTCAATATAATGAGACTGGGAGATCTTGATTGACGATTGGTCATCGGCGATTTCTAACTTGATTCCGAGATAGAGTGTAGGCTTGTTGGTCCACTTTAGTTGATATTTGGAGTCGATAAAAACTTGGAATTTGAGAAACAGATCATCATTATCGCAGAATACCATGGAATCATCAACGTGGAGATGTAGAATGAGAATACCCATGGGACACTTGAGCACATATACCGCTGTATCAGAATCAGTTGGATTAAGATGAAATTCCGAAGTCGTTGCTCCAAAATGTTGTTGCCATCGGCGAGCAGCCTGCTTGGTTCCGTAGAGTGATTTGATAAGTTGCCAAACACGATTAGGTTGAGTCGGGTGTTCAAAACGTCGGACTTGACAAGCAAAAACCAAATCCTTCATGTTCCCATTAAGGAATGCGGTAACAACATCAAATTGACGTTTCCGCCATCGCCTCTTCACCAATAAAGCCAGGAGAATACGTAATGAGTCAAGTTTTCCCACAGATGCGTATGTGTCATCGTAATCAAGTCCTTTTATCTGATGATTGCCTAGGACCACCCATCTAGCCTTGTATTTGATAATTCGGTTGTTTTCATCTCGCTTACGATTGAATACCCACATCCCCCCAAGTACGTTTGCATTTGGAGGTCTGTCCACTAGTTTGCCAACACCATGCTGAGTGAGAGAGTCGAATTCGCGCTGCATTGCCTGTCGCCACGCATTCCTGTCAGGGCCTGACATCGCTTGCTTGAAAGTCGGGCTGTCCGGATCTCTGCCTGTTGTGGCTGATAAACCATAGTTGTTTGGCATGACCCGGGCTACCTTAGCGGTTTTCTTGGTAAATCCAAATCGCTCCGGTTCCTTTCTTGTCCGCAAAGATCGTCTAGGGGCAGGAGGAGTAACAGGACGTTGTATAACTTGTTGTGGTTGCGATTCGACAGGTGAGGATAAAGGCGCAGGCACTGGCTGTCCGTCTGGTGATTTTGGAGGAGACTGGACAACCGGCGAATTCAAGATGGTTGGGACGTGAGCTGATGCAGGGGGCGTGCTGGGAATCGGCGGTTCAGGTGGTGTTCTTGAAAAGACCCTCGGAGACGGAACTCTCGGTGAAGAGCGGATGGACTCAGGAATCCTTGGAGATGAATGTACAGATTCTATAACTTCATTTGGAACTGATGATAGATCTGGTGAAGCATTGAATCTGCGGATTTCTTGACTTTTGGCCGAGGAGATTGGTGATCCAATTGGGGACAAATCAATTGGAGAAGCCGAAGAGTGCGACGATGGCGGCGAAAAGGATCGGTACTCTTGGTGACCCAACTCAGACGGAAGTCTCTGAACTTCTGGCTGGTTGGGAGAAGATTGAATCGGTGATTGATTCAAAGGTGTTGACATCATTGGGTGATTCGAGTCGACACGAGGTGCATGGATCGACCCAGAGAGAGGAATGATTACTCTAGGACAAAACTGCGGTGGGGATATGGGTTGATCGGATTCTCCATCAAGAACAATCGGTGACTGAGGCTCGATTTCTTTTGGAGAACCCAATCCAGAAGATTCAACGACCTCTGGTATTGAATCACCTGGCGTGAGCTGAGATTCACGACCTTTGGTCACCACAACTTGATTGGTGAGATTAGGTACGATAAGTTCTTTGATGACATCTGGCGAAAAAGTTGGATGCAAAGCTGGAAAAATTTCTTCGCGGTAAAGAACATCACCAGTGATAAAGATCCGGCCGGTCTGCTTGTCCCAAAGACGGGCTGCTCGAGCACCATCCTCAAGACCAACAAAGATAAACCGCTTCCCAATTGGGGCAACTTTGGACTTGCGCTGTCGATCCACAGCAAAACATAGGCATCCAAAGGGTTTGAGTTGATCAACATCGAAAGGATGCACATGACCAGGTAGAAGAGACTCGAAAACTTCAATAGGTCAACGATTTTGAAGTGCTGCCGAAGGAGAGCAATTGATTTGTATGCAGCAGTATTTGACCAGTTCCCCCCAAAGCGATAAAGGAAGGCCACTCTCGAGTAGCTGAGCTCGAGTCTTTCCCATAAGGGTGCGAAAGTAACGCTCCGAGACTGAATTTGCCATAGGCCGATGAGCAGGACCTTTTTCTTCTTCAATGCCTTCATCTTTGAGAAAAGAAATGAACTCATTCGAACTGTACTCTCCTCCTCTATCAGACTTGAGTTTAAGAATCTTTGCACCACACTTCTTTTCCATCAGATTTTTGTATTGTTTGAAAGCAGAAAAGGTTTGGTCTTTAGATTTCAAAAGGTAGACAGTAGTATAACGGGAGTGATCATCAATGAAACTGAGAACATATTTGAAACCAGATTTTGATGAAGGATTGATAGGACCCAAAAGATCACTATGTACAAGATTGAGTAGTTTTGGCGACCGATGAAATGAAGATGTAGCAGGAGATTGAGTGAGTTTTCCCATGGAACAAGCATCACAAGGAACAAAGCTGGTCTTAGAGATAGGAAGAAGTTTATAACGACAAAGAAAATGAATAACACCATCTGGATGTAGGTGACCCAATTGTCTATGCCAACTCATCGCAAGTTTCTCCGGATCAGTGTATGAGAAAAGAGCTGAGTGGATATCGTTGGGTAGTATAGGTGTCCATAAACGATTTGTCGTAGAGCTGCGCTGCATCCGGAGAACGTCGTTACCGTTCGAATCTGTGATCGTTCCGACAGATTTGTTGAACGTAGCACGATATCCGTCATCACAAAGAGATCCAATTGATATGAGATTTCCATTCAATTTCGGCGAGTACAGAACATCTCGAAGGATAAGGGAACCATATCTTACATTCCCCTTGCTTTGTGCCCAGATGACTCCGTCCTTCGATGCGACACTTATCCTGACAGGACGACAGGTACGCAAATCAGATATTAGAGATAGGTCTGAAAACATATGGCTAGTTGCGCCAGTGTCACAGATAACGGGCGTACTGAAGGAAGTCGAAGCAGCAAACGCAGAGTCCCAGTATGAAGTGTCTTCGTCTGGTTCTTTGAGAGGTTGAGAGGTTTGAGCAACGTTGGATGAATTACCTGATTGAGATGCGGTAGCAGCCATCTTCTTTTCGTGCTCCAGAAAAGCTCGGAACTTGCGAGTCCTACAGTTTTAGTCGGTATGACCCGCATGACCCAGAGAACAGCGAAGACCATTTGATGATTGATTTGGTGGTTCCTTCTTTCTGTACAATTTCGATCTTGAGTCATTGTTACGTCGAGCTGCCAAAGCAGTGTCGGACTTGTTGGCTGACACACTTCTGGTCGCTTTGATTTTGAGTAATGAAAAGAGCCTCGCTAAGGTTAACTCTTTAAAGTTCGAGAGAAGACTTTGAACAAGAGGGGTAAATTCAGACGGAAGAGATTTGATGAGGATTATAGTGATAAAAGGTTCAGAAATTTTGAAATCAGGGATGGAGGCTAAATTACTGAGTAAATCATTATAAATCTTTCTAAATTTTGTAACATGTTCATTAAGATCTTCATCAGAATGCATACAAAGAGCCATTAGGTCAGAGAATAGATGAGCAGTAGACAGTCCCCCGGCGTCGTCGTGGTACTCGCAGAGTTTGTCAAAGGCATCCTTGGGATTAGTACAGGTGCGAATGACTTGGAAGTTCTCACTGTCGATCGTTGCATGGATAGCCGCCAACGCTCTAGCTGAATTGGTCTCATGATCCTCGAGTTCGGTCTCGTCAGTTGGTACAGGTATGGTCTTGAGAATGTACTTGGAAAGGCGCTGTCCACTCAATAAAGTGGTGAGTTTGAGCTTCCAGTCATTGAAAGTACCGGTGGACAGTTTCACAACTGATGAGTAAGAAGATGTGGAGAACTCTTTTAGATCGGACGTCATTGTTGTATATGTTTTGGTGGGGAAGGGAATGGTATTTTTGAAATTAGGAGGTAATGATTTCGAAGATTTAGATTCTGGTTTGACGTTTGTGGCGTCTGATGGATTCATTCAGTCTGAGCTTATACAGAGTAGGACATCAAGATCGAGGAGATACTAGATTAGATAATTCTTGGGTTTGAAAAGATTGTGATGGATCGATAGGCTGCCGCAGACGTATTACGCTGGGCTCATAACCTATTACAATCTTCGTGATAACCTGTCAGAGCAGGGATCAATATGATTCAAACTTTAAGTAATGAATCTAATCAGAATCCCATGACCACGAGTTACTCACCTGTCAGAGCAGGGATCAATATGATTCAAACTTTAAGTAATGAATCTAATCAGAATCCCACGACCACGAGTTACTCACCTTCATTCAAGATTGTATAGGAAAGTCTTGGATCAGATTTAATTTCCATCACAATCAAACAAATAGAATATGAAACAAGATAGAAAACTAAACATACCTGTCAGAGCAGGGATCAATATGATTCAAACTTTAAGTAATGAATCTAATCAGAATCCCACGACCACGAGTTACTCACCTTCATTCAAGATTGTATAGGAAAGTCTTGGATGAAGAGAGAAGAGCTCGTGGCGCTCTGTCAGTACTGTTTATAAATGAAACAACTAGCGGTACATAGGTTTCGATTAGGTTTAACAACGTGTCATGTAAATCAGAGATACGTATGTAAATTGAAATAAGAGAAGGAAATCTATGGTGTGAAACGCATGATGTGCAAAGTTGTGAAACAAATGTAAAAGTCATGTGAAAGGTAAAACACCATACTTGTAACACTCCGATGGCTAGGTCTTTGGCTTGATCCAAAATTAACATACAACCCACACATCCACAAACTTCACCAACGAGGGAAAGCTACCCTAGCTCAGATTAGCCGCATCAGCAGATGCTACCATGGAATGAGTCCAAAAGAAACAAAAACACTCATAACAGCCGTGTTAAAACCGAGAATCTTATTTGGAAGCATCGTTTGGTTTAACACACGAACAGAAAGTAAAGTAACAAAAATTTTCCATCTTATACAAAACGCAGCTAACCGACTGGCACTAGGGGCCTTCAAAAGCTCACCTACGGAACAAATGAACCATGACGCTGACATGATTTCTTTCAAAGATCTAGCGATTCGATACAACCACAACTTTGTTTACAAAAGACTAACGGCCCCCAACTATCATCCAACACAAAAGATATTAATGGAGGAACCGGCACACATACCTCTTAGACATCAGAGCCCAATTCATAGAGTACTAAGAAAAACTGACATGATTCTACCTTTTGAAACAAACCTAGAAACAATACATCCTTACTCGGACCCGCCGTGGATGGAACCGAGATGGACAATAGAAAACACTGGAGAAAAAAGAGACACAGTTAAAGACAGGATACCAATCCAAGTAGAGGAAGAAAAAAATCGCAAAGCCTGTATAATGTTTACTGACGGATTGTTTATACCCAATGTAGGAGGAGGAGCAGCGGTAGCAGCAAGGGAATTAACGGCAGCACACGCATATGGACCGGTGGAGGGAATCTCTAACTATGAAATGGAATCCATGGCAATTATGATTGCTCTAATCCAATTTAAACAATTGACTGACAAATACCCTGACAGATATGACTCACTGGCAATCTTTAGTGATAGTCAAGCAGCATTGGAACTGTTTGCAAACCCGATACGCCCTAGGACACTGCAGTACCTTGCCCGATTCCTACGAAAATCACACCAAATAATCCCGAGGAACTTTAACATCTCATTATACTGAACGCCGGGCCACAAAGGGATTGAATTGAATGAAACAGCCGACAAAGCAGCAAAGGAGATTGCAGAAAATAGATCACAAGTGATGATGTTACCAATTAGTCTGGGTGGGCTGTTGCATCACACACGAAAGACTTTGACAAAAAGGGGAGCTGTCTCAAAATCACCTTTCAAAACACAAAGTCGATGGATTGCTGATGCACTTAACAATTTAGAAAAAGGGCAGGCAGCTGCGATTTTTCAACTTAGATGCGGACACAGCCCTCTCAGACAATTCCTCCATAGGATAGGAGTAGAAGATACGAACAAATGTGAAAATTGCTCAGCAATAGAAACACCAACTCATTTCCTGATATATTGTAGGAGATACAATAAACAACGACAAGAATTCAGAAAACAAGTGAAAAAAGAAAAAATAAAAGTCAATATAAACTCTGCATCAAAACTGTTGGACACACCAAAGGTGTTCCCTTACACTACACAAAATGTCATCTTTACTGGGCGGTAAAGAAAACTACTGACATAGAAAAGTCCTGAGGCAACAGGAAGAGAGCTAAAAATCTGAAAAAATATGCACCTTGTTCCTAGATGGTGGGGCGTCATGACGAGTATTTTTTTGTATTTTACACGCAGATATTGGTTCATGTACTAACAATAAAGGCTGAGAATCATCAAAAACCCACCTGTAACAATACCTGAAATTTGGCCCTTGACTTTGAAGACAGGATTTTGGAATCTTCAAACATCAA